GAAGGGTGAGGAATCAATGATAACACTGAAATTTCAAAACTGAGTTATTGGAAGGATGGTGCTGTCCTCAACAATAATAAGAAAGTTCAGACTAGGGTAAGATTTGGGGGGAAATATAACAGTTTTCTTTTACACATGTTGATTCTAAGATAACTATGAGACATCAAGTTCAAAAATTCAAATAGGCCTTATGTTGAAGACACAATATTGGAACTCAGAAAAGAGATTAGGGCTAGATATATAGATCAGAAAAATTATCTGCATATAGATGATAACTGAACCCAGAAAGCTGAACAAGTAAATGGGATAGTACAGGGAAAAAAGGAAAAAGGACCCAGAAAAGAACCTTGGAGGATACACACAGTTGGAAGTATGATATAGATGAAGATGTAGTAAAATAGACTGAGAAGGAGTAATTTAGCAGGTAGGAGGAGGGCCAAGATAGAGCAGGGTCACAAAAACCCAGAGAGAAGAGGGTACAATAGGAGATGATCAACAGAGTCAAATGTTATAGACTGCTCAGGAAGGATGAAGATTGGGAAAAGCAATTAGATTCGGCAGCAAAGAAATTACTGCTAACTTTGAAAAGAACAGTTACAGTTGAATTTTAAAGCCAGGTTACAGAGGGATTGAAAAAAGATGAGAAAAAAAAGGAAATTGAGGTACTGAGTATTTTTCAAAGAGTTTAAAGGAAGGAGAAATATAAGACAAAGGCTATGGGGGATGGTAGGATAAAATGAGAACATTTTAAGGATAGGAGAGAGATAGGTATGCAGGAAGTAAATAGGGAGCCAGTAGATAAGGAAATATTGAAGAATAGAGAAAAAAGTGGGATGACAGTGTGGCCAATTTGCTGGAAAGTACTAGGGGAGACTGGATCCAGAGTACCTGTAGACGAAGTGGTCTTAGCAAAGAGGTCTAACTCTTCATCAGAAAATAGAGTGAAGGTGGAGTGAGGGATGATGTAGGATAAATGTGATATGAGTAAAGGGGGAGAATAAGGACTTCATGCTGGTCAGCCTTAAAGTTTTTGGTGAAGCATGATGTGAGATTCTCAGTTGACACTTGAGGAGAAATAAGAATGTTTGAAATAGCAATGGTGAGTGAGATAAGGAATCTGTTAGAGGGGAGTAGGGTTGCCTTGCTACCATGAAGGTCCAGTTGTAATTAGATAACATAAAAAGTTGTAACTAGATAACATAAAAATCAGCTCAGTTTCATGACAACCTCTGGTTTCATTCAATATTAAGAATGGAGAGAGCAGATGATTGTTATAATCCAAAGTTGGGTTTGCAATAATCATCTAATTGATCTCCATGCTTCAAATCTCTCCCCACTCCAATCCATCCTCCAAAGAGCTTCCAAAATGATTTCCTATCTTTACAACATCTCTTATAGACATCTCCTTCTTTCCACTCACACAACAAAAATTCTTGCCCCGGCCCTCATCACTTATTGCGTGGACTATTTCAATACACTTCAAATTGGTCACCCTGACAGAAAAGGAAACTGAGATCTAGAGAGATTAAATGACTTGTGCAAGCTCACACAGTAGTATGAATTTAACCCAGGTCCACTAGCTCCAAATTCTCTGCCAGGTGAATCAGTAGAAGGGACTAAAAAGGACTCCTATTAAAGCCACCAATTCTTTGCAAAAGTGAATAAATACAAATGAGTAGGCAATTTGAGTCCAGAGATGTGAGGATATATGATGTTTTATATGTTTGAATTGTGTTGGATTTATCATTTTTCTCAGTGTTTTATGACTCACCAGTATGAATTATATAATAACATGTTTCTTTTCCTCTTATCTACCTTTAATTTTTATTTTATTAATTTTATTAAGACAGAGGCAAATGTTTTTATAGTTAAACAAATCATAAGATGACAGATTTACAGTTGAAAGAAAGCCATCTAGTCCATTCCTCTTACTTTATTTTGCTTTTTTTTTGTGAGGCATAGGGGTTAAGGAACTTATCCAAGGTCACACAGCTAGAAAGTGTCAAGTGTCTGAGGTCATATTTGAACTCGGGTCTTCCTGAGTGCAAGGCTGGAGCTTTACCCACTGTGAAACCTAGCTGCCCCCAATTCCTCTTATTTTATAGATACCAATCTCAGGCCCAGAGAGGTCATGACCTGTCCAAGATTATACATGTAGCAAGTGACAGAGATGGGATTCAAACTTGGGTCCTGGGACTCTGGAGTCAGTGCAAACTCCACTGACTAAAATTCTCATCAGTAGTCAGGACTGGAGATATTAATATGGGAATCATCATGATTGTTTATGAGAAGTAGAGTTGCAATAGATAGAGTGCTGACCTCAAAGACAGAAAGACCTGGATCCAAATCTCATTTTTGACATATACTAGTTTTGTGACCCTAGGCAATTTATTTAATTTCTCTGTGACTCAAGCAATTTTTTAGACTTTCAGTTGTTGAACAAAGTCCTGACCAGTGGCAATACAGGAAATTTTTTTGCTGTTTACTGCCCTCCACTTAATCTATGGGCAAAAATTCAGCATCCCCAGATTTTCAGCTTCAGTTCCACAGAGTTATAGTTTCTTCTATTTTTATCCATGTGTAAATAATCATATTCCTCTGAGCAATTTTTGGTGTAATATGTAGGCAATATTTGTAATACAAAAAGAATTCTTGATATTTCAGGTTTCTGACATCTTTGAGAAGTGTTCTTTAAGACAAGAGCCTGATAGCCCAACAAAATATTTCTAAAAAAGCCAGAACTGGGAATGATTGTTGCTTCAAAACAAAACAAGAAAACAAAAACCAAGTTGAGATAATTACATCTGTGTAATATGCAAAAGTTTGGGCTATAATATTCCTCAAGGTATACTGAAGTTCCTGAGTCTCAAGTTGAAATTGCCTAAGGGATGGAGTAGGTCCCTGAAAAGAAAGCATGAAATTGTTTTCCCGGAGCAGCCCTTGTCCTCCAGAGCTTGATCCCAGTTTTAGGGACTATGGAAGAGCTAGAGTTACACAGCTGAATGTTCTGTGAGATCACCTTAGTAGTCTCATGCAGGACTTCTTTCATGTATCAGAAGCATAAGCCAGGTCTGACTGTGTTACTTCTCCTATCGCTCTGGATAAGAGAGAGAAAAAATCTCCCCGGTGAAAGTCTTCCTGCAAAAAGAATATGTTATTGGTGCTGGTATTTCTGAGAATCTTGTGTTTGATCACTTCATGAAAAACTGTTCCAGGAGAGGAACCCAAAGCCTGTTGGGATTCTAAGATGCTTTAGAAATCAAGTCAATAGCAGATAAAGAAGAAAATCACACATGCTTGAAGGTAAATAGAAATTTTGATATTCTTTGATCACATCAAGAGTGTTCTTATACTTGGCCAAGTGAAAAGAAGTATTTAGAAAGTATCTGGCAGGTCATTACAAGCACAGATTATTATGAGTTTCTGAAATTCCAATGTAGTCTCTGGAGAAGGAAGCACTTGATGTGCAAACACAGGAGATTGCTTACCAAGCAGCAAAGTTTTATGGTCAATGGACTCAGGCTTAATGATGACTAGACTACTGAGGTGAATTTAATGATTTGGTAACAATCATTTTTCATATATTGAATCTTCAATAGGGAGAACAAGAGGTTAACGATGCAAGGAAAAGCTTCAAAATTTCATCAACGGCCTACTGAACATCCCCACTCAAATGTCCTATAATCTTCTCAAGTTCAAAATGTCAGTGTGGTACAGTGAAAAGAACATTGGCTTTGGAAGCAGAGAACCTTGGTTCAGAAAGTCTCAGGCTTAATGTGACATTGGGCAAGTCATTTATCCTGCCTAGGTCTTGGTTTATTCATCTATAGAATGAGGCCATTAGACTACTCAGAGTTTGCATCTGAATAACCAGAAACACCTGGCTACTGCTGACACAGCTTAGTTTAACCTGTCCTTATTATTTATTTTTATCAACAATGTCAGTAGTCATAAAACTGTTTCTTCTCAGGAGCAATTTTAAGCATCTTTTTTCTCACAGAAAGAGGAGATTTGAGATAATTATTCAGAGATCTTGGCTGGTGCCCTCTTTCATCTGATAGGTCTATGTTGTGTACTCCTTCAGGGTTAGAATTGTGCCTCATCCACCTTTGGGTCTTGGTGTGAAGGTTGCAATAGGAATGAGTTTGAAGAACAAGATCATGGGATTAAAGGTCATAGTGTTATTGAATTAGAGCTTGTAGAGACTGTAAACTCAAAGTAATCTAGCATCCTCATTTTATAGAGAGTGTTAGATGAGTAACACCCTCAATTGGTGTTGTTACTCCAATAGTAAGAACTATTGGAGATGTTGCTACTCCAATCAGATGGAGTAATCTAATTGGAGTTAGATTACTAACTCCAACAGTTAGCAATAGGTGAGTAAACTGAGACCTAGGGAGGACACATGACTTGCCCAAGGTCACATTAAGCCTCAGACATTTTGAACTGAGATTCTCTGACTCTAAAGTTAGTGTTCTTTTCACGGTGCCGAACTGACGTTTTGAGTTTGAGAAGATTATAGGACATTTGGGTGGGGATGTTCAGCAGGCCAATGATGAAATTTTGAAGCTTTTCCTTGGGTCATTAACCTCTTGCTCTCCCTATTGAAGATTCAATATGCTAAAAATGATGGTTATCAAACTAGACCTCAGTTTCCTCATCTATAAGATGAGGGGATTGGACTAGATGATCTTTAGATCTAGATCTGAATCGATAATCCTATGATATGGGTTACATGTCTAATTGAGTTTTTAAATGGGTGTCAATGTTTATTGACTGATAGATAGGAGGGGCTCAGTGAATCCTTTTTGAATGGAATTGAACTTCCTTTTCAATACAGGCTAGAGCTACAACTTCCAGGTTCTAGTCTCTGGCTTCTTCCTTGATATCAGCTTGCACTAATTGGTTAAGTCCCCCCTTCCTAAGCTTCCCACTCCCCCAGGGACCAATCACTAAGCAACTATTCTCTGTCTGAACTGCTATAGGTGAAAGAAAATGTAATGGAAGGACTCAACTGGACATCTAGGAAGGAGTTTGTTCTACTGGGGTTTTCAGAATACCCGAAGACTGAAATGTTCATCTTTCTTTTATGTCTGGCGATGTACATGGTAATCATATTGGGGAATACTATTATAATTATTCTGACTATCCTGGATTGTCACATTCACATCCCAATGTATTTTTTCCTCAGTAATCTCTCCTTCTTAGATATCTGTTTTACATCCTCTTTTGTCCCCAAAATGTTGACTAACTTCTCATCAGGGAGAAAAACCATCTCCTTCTCTGGGTGTGTGATCCAAATGTATATCTTCCTTGCTGTGGGGTCCACAGAGTCTGTGCTCCTAGCCACAATGGCCTATGATCGGTACATGGCCATCTGTAATCCCCTCAGATACCCTACAATCATGAACAAGAGACACTGTGTGCAGTTGGTGGTTACATCCTGGCTTGTAGGTTTTCTCAACTCTGCTATGGAAACAGCTCTTGCAACAAGGTTGCCCTTTTGTGGGAAAAATACAATTAATCATTTTTTTTGTGAAATCTTAGCCATACTAAAGCTGGCCTGTGTTGACATCTCTTTGAATGAAATTGTTATGTTGATAGACAGCATAACACTTGCATTCTCCCCATTATTGTTAATTATTATCTCCTATATTTTTATTCTCTCTGCCATACTGAGAATCAACTCTGCAGAAGGGAGGAAAAAAGCTTTTTCTACTTGCTCAGCACACTTGACTGTGGTGACTGTGTTTTATGGGACTGTCTTCTTCATGTATATGAAGCCTAAGTCCAAAAATTCAATTACAGACAAATTTATTACGTTGTTCTATTCAGTGGTGACCCCCATGCTGAACTCCATCATCCATAGCCTGCGGAACAAGGAGGTGAATGCAGCTATGAGAAATGTGCTGAAAAGACTTCCATTCAAGAGGTGATAATTAGATACTTAAACCTGGTCATTAGCCCCTTTCTCCTCATGATTCTGACACTGGAAAAGTGAAAGTTGAGTTGATATTGTATTCAGGTGTCTGAAGTTTTTTCCTTCTTTTTTACTTTTTGAAGCAAAGAGTTTCAAATATAGGTAGAACAAAACTCCTGAAGATGAACTATCACCCATCAATTTTTATGGGAATTTCTTCTAACATAGACTGAATTTTTCCAACAACAAAAAAAAGTATACAACTGGTAAAGAAAAAATGCTCTCTTAGTATTGTTACCTACCTCTGCCCTAATTCAAATATATTTCCTGCACCAATTAAAATTTAGCCTTTAAAATTTAAAATTTAGCCTTTATATGGAACTTACATAGATTAAGTAGTTCACCAATAATACCTTCCTAGCTCCCAGTACCCTTTCCCCAAAATATTATAATGGTTTTTGCATGAGACCATGCACCAAATGTGATGAAATAAAGACCATCTTCCCTATTTTATCTTCTGGATGATATTGAGTTCTTTTCAATGCTGTCTCTGGGGATCAAGAGATTTTTTTTCCCTATTGGGTCCCTGATTCCTAAAAAGAGAATGAAAAAGACTGGTTGATAAAGAGTAGTAAAACCCAGCCCAGAGAAATAATCCACACTAGACTGATGGCAAATGATGTGGTCCAAGGAAAGATATCAGTGGAACATTAGAAAACCAGATAAGGTCAAAACTAGATGTTTCCAAAGGCAAACAATCTAGAAGGCTAAATGGCAATCTATGAACTCAGTCTGAGAGTAAAAAATCTAAAGTGGGGAAAAGAAAGGAGATCCACACAAGACAAGGCTAAGAGAGTACCACAGAGGAGGATAAGTAGAATTGTCAGTTGCCAATTTCTCTCATGTAAGGTGTCAGTCCAACATCATGAGGTTGGTATATTAACAGTGCTCTTTAATTACTCATTTATATCCATTCAGCTATCGGCCAAGACATTTTTCGTTGACTAATCAACACACAGTCATTTATTAAGGGTCTACTATGTACTAGACACTGGGTTAGATGCTAGAATACAAGACTATAAAAAAACTCTGGAAAGAGTTCACATGTTTTCAGGAAGATAAAAGTATATACAAAATAAATACAAGATAATTTATATGGGAGGAAGTACTAGAAGCTGGCAAAGATCAGGAAAAGTTTCACATAAAAAACAGTGTTGGAGCAAAATTTCAAAGCAAACTAGGGAGCCTAAGATGTGGAACTGAAGAGGGAGTGTGTTGCAGGCATGAGATACCATGAGGGGAATTAATATATAAGTCTGAAGTCAGATTGTGAAGGGGTTTAAAAGTCAAACATAAAAGCGTGTTTGATCCTACCAGTAATAGGGAGAAACTGGAGTTTATTGAGCAGAAGAGTGGCATGATCAGGCCTAGGCTTTGATAATATCAGCTTGGTAACTGCATAGATCAGGGATGGGGAACAAATTATGAGGTTTCTTCAATAGTCCAGGATAGAGGTAATGAGTAGAGAGAAGGAGGGGTTAAGAAAAATGTGGTGGCAGAATCAATAAGCCTTTGCTTATCAAATGTGAGGTGAAGAAGGAGCTAAAGGGGCAGCTAGGTGGCGAAGTGGATAGAGCTCTGGCCTTGGAGTCAGGAGGACTTGAGTTCAAATCTGGTCTCAGACACATAACACTCACTAGCTGTGTGACCCTGGGCAAGTCACTTAACCCCTTTGCCTCAAAAAAAAAAAAAGAAGAAGAAGGAGCTAAAGATGACTCCAAGGACATGCATCTATTTGCAAATCAAAGTATCTATCTAGCCATGGATCCGAATGTTCTCCTCACTTTCCAAGCTTATCTGGAAGTATTCATTATATCTCTGGATTTAGACAGAGAAGGGGATAGCCTCTTATTATAAAATTTTAAGAAGAAGAAAGGAAAATTCAGTGAGAGCAAATATCCTGACCAAGATCATAATACATAACAGATCCAGAATTCAAGCTCCCATCCTCTGACTCCAAATTCAGTATTCTTGCCATTTCTACTTGTCTCCCTACAGTTCAAAAGTCAAAATTTAGAGACCACTAAACAATAGTGGGAAACACCACAGTGACTCAGTGAATAGAGCACTGGATCTGGCATCAGAAAGACCAGAGTTCAAATCAGACCTCAGAGACCTACTAGCTGTGTGACCCTGGCCAAGTCACTTAACATATTCCTGTATAAAATCGGAGGAAAAAATCGCAAACTACTCCAGTACCTTCACCAAGAAAACCCCGTGGACAGTTGGTTCACAGGATCACAAAGAGTTGGACATCACTGAACAACTTAACAATAGTATAGTATAGTAAGGGACTGAGAAAAACTAACAATGGGGAGCCAAGATGGTGGAGTAAGAAGTAAGTTGCTCTCACCCTCCCTTATTGACCTCTGCAAGACCAGAAAATATCACCCCAGGAAAATCCCTGGAATAGCTGAACCAGTAGAAAGATGGGGTGCAGCAGTCTTGTAGCCTAGAAAGCTTGGGGGACTAACAGGAAAGACCTCTCTTGCTCTGGGAGATGGGGAGCAGTACAGAACAGGAGGCATCCCAGTAAGCTAGTGGAAAGCCCCACCCCAGCATGCCATGGGGAGATCCTGAACCCCAGGGTGGTGGAGCAGGCAAGCACCAACATCAGGACCCCTGAGTGCCTCAGTATGGACAGGGGAACCAGTAGAAACTGGCTTAGAAAACCACCACATGCCATGGTGTTCTCTGGCAGCCAAGTTTCCTGGTGCCTCAGCAAAATTCTGGGAAGCACAACTGCAAGAGGTAAACCTCCAGGCTGAGAGAAATCCTGCAGCAGCAAAACATCCCTGTGCAAGGCCTGGGTGAGCAGGAGCCAAAGAAAGGAATACAAGACCCAGGTGAGCAGGCATCCTCCAAGGGCCAGATTCAGTATCCCTGCCCCTAGAGCTACAGTGTTGCTGATTCCAGCCCAAGACCAAGTGAGCTGCCAGAACCACTTCCAACTGCCAGCACCTGAGGTCCCAGCACACAAAGCCAGTGACCAGACCCTGGGCTCCCAGAACAAGAAGCTTGGGTCAGTGCCCCCTGTTCTTTAGCAGAAGAGTTCAAATTTTTTTTAAAAGTCAGGAAATAAGCAAACATCATGAGCAAAAAGAAATGTACAATGACCAAAGATTCTTATTATGGGGACAGGGAAGATCAAGGCAGAAATTCAGAAAAAGGGCAACACTGTCAATGTACCCACATCTGAAACCTCAAAAGGAAACATGAACTAGTCTCAAGCCCAAAAAGCCTTCTTAGAAGAGCTCAAGAAGGATTTTAAAAGTCTTATAAGAGAGATAGAAGAAAAAATGGGAAAAGAAATGAGAGGTATGCAAGAGAGAGTCAATAGCTTAAAAAAGGAAGGACAAAAATTAACTCCTAGAAAATAAGTCCTGAAAATAACAGCATCTCAGAAAAAGAAATTGAACAAGCAATCAATGAACTCCCTAGGAAAAAATCTCCGGGGCAAGATGGATTTACAAGAGAATTCTAGTAAACATTTAAAGAACAATTAATTCCAATACTATATAGATTATCTTGGAAAACAGGTGAAGGAGTCTTACCAAATTCTTTTTATGACATGAATATGGTGCTGATACCTAAACCGGGAAGAGTCAAAACAGAGAAAGAAAATTATAGACCAATTTCCCTAATGAATATAGATGCAAAAAAATTTAAATAAAATATTAGCAAATAGATTTTGCTACTTATCACAAGAATAATACGCTATGACCAGGTAGGATTTATACCAGGAATGCAGGGTTGGTTCAAAATTAGGAAAACTATCAGCATAATTGATCATATCAACAATAAAACTAACAGAAAATACATGATTATCTCAATAGATGCAGAAAAAGCTTTTGACAAAATGCAACACCCATTCCTATGAAAAACACTAGTGAGCATAGAAATAAATGGAGTCTTTCCTAAAATGGTAAGTACCATCTACCTACAACCTTCAGCAAACATTATATGTAATAGGGATAAGCTAGAAGAATTTCTGATAAGATCAGGGGTGAAACAAAGATGTCCATTATCACCACTCTTGTTCAATATGGTGTGAGGAAGGAATTGCTTCTTTAGCAATTAAAGAAGAAAAAGAAATTGTAGGTATTAGGCAAAGAAGAAACAAAGCTATCACACTTCGAAGATGATATGATGATATACTTAGGGAATCCTAGAGAATCAAGTAAAAAAATACTTGAAATAATGAACAACTTTAGGAAAGTTTGAGGTTATAAACGAAACCCACAGAAATCATCAGCATTTCTATATATTATGAACAAAGCCCAACAGCAAGAGATAGAAAGAGAAATTTCATTTAAAGTTATTGTAGACATTATAAAATATTTAGGAGCCTACTTGCTGAAACAAACCCAAGAACTATATGAACACAATTACAAAACACTTTTCACACAAATAAAGTCAGATCTAAATAACTGGAAAAACATCAATTGCTCAGGGGTAGGCCGAGCCAATATAATAGAAATAACAATTCTAAGTTAATCTACTTATTCAGTGCCATACCAATCAAACTACCAAAAATTATTTTATAGAGCTAGAAAAAATAATAAACAAGATACATTTGGAAGAACAAAAGGCCCAGAATATCAAGAGAACTAATGAAAAGAAGTGCTAGGGAAGATGGCCTAGCTGTTCCAGATCTTAGATTGTATTATAAAGCAGCAATCATCAAAACTACTTGATACTGTCTAAGAAATGGAGTGGTGAATCACAGAATAGATTAGGTACGTAAGACACAGTAGTCAATGATTATAGTTATCTACTGTCTGATAAACCCAAAGACCCCAGCTTCTGGGATAAGAACTTACTAGTTGACAAAAACTGCTGGGAAAACTGGAAAAGGGTATGGCAGAAATGAGGCACAGACTAAAATCTTACACCATATACCACAATAAAGTCAAAATGGGTTCACGCTTTAGATATAAAGGCTGATACTATAAG